TATGATTCAGTGGGCTATATAACACTTTTAATTGTCAGGAAATTATTTGTCTTTAAAAGTTTTGGTTCAATATACTTACCCGTTGATCAAAAATAGCCTTAAACCTATACACTTTTTTTTATTTAGTAACTTTCAGGAGGGTGTACTCATTTTTGCAACACAAAATTGTATCACTTTGATAAGAAAATCTTATTTTGCTGAATAATTTAGGCATTCTTCTTTGGTAATTAATCAAGCAGGCTTGTTGGAACATTCTCCAAAGAACCCTAACATGTCTTCTAAGTAAAGAGTAATTGCTGAATTTGTTAAGTTTTAGAGGGGGTGTACTCATTTATGCTGTGCACTGTATATATCGCACACCCCTAACTACTGGTCTCTTGTTGGAGGGTCAGCCCAAAACCATTTACGTGTTATGGCTTTTCCGACTGCTTGCTAAAAGTATTTTTAATAAGTATTTATCACTGCCTTAGAACCGTTTTAGGTATTTTTCCTAGGTACAGTGTAATGAATGAAAAATCCATCTCCTCCCCTAATATTTTTCCAATTTCAGCTGCCAAACGACCAGTTTTTTTATTTACCCTTGTAAGACCCCCCCCCCTCATAAAAACACTTTCTCTCTGGATCGAAGCAAATCTCATAGGTGACCTATTTTGATCTCAAAAAGGTGAGTTGTAGCTGAAAAGTGAGGAGTTTGCATCAAGATTCTTTAAATCTACTTTTGAAAGAAGTTTTTCTGGGTCCATCTTATAAAACAAGGCTTTAAGAGCTTTGCACTACAGACAACGGAGGATGAAACCAGCTAAACTGACCAATCTGTGGCTGAGGCGTCCAGTCACTGGAGCTGGCGCGAGACGAGCAGTCATCATCATCGTGAGGAAGATCAGGAGACGTGAAACCATTGGGATGGACACCTTCGTCAATTAGGTCTGAGAGCAAACCACACAAAAACACCATTTCAGATTGATCTCGGTTTATATAGAGGAATAACAGCAGCATAATACGACTGGCCTTACTGTATTTCACTACACTAGATGGTTACTATGTAACCTAAGACTTAGTGCTTATATTAATAGTTCTGTTCAAATTTAATCCTATATATCACTTATTTTATATTTCTATGAAGAACATTTATTTTAATAAATAAACAAGGTAATCAAGGTAAAACTGTGTGTAATATAAACATGAAAGTATATGATTGAGTGGTGCGGGAGTTACAGCTTCATTAATCAGCATGAAGAACAAGAATGCATTATTATAGTGACTAAATACATTTTAATAAAATATGTAAATAATTGTATAAATAAAGCATGAAATATTTATGGAGTTGACATGACAAGTCAAAGCAGTGACAGAAGTGTGACATGTCCCCTAAAACTAATAATAGTAATAATAATAATAATAACTGAAGGGGTTAATATTATGCAATAAATAAAATAAAATATAATTTAATTAATAATTAAATTACGTAATATAAATAATCAATCACAAAATAATATTGAATAATTACTTTATTAAATAATAATAATAATAATAATAATAAAACACTTAAGTATAAAAATATAAAAACACTTAAGAGATAACAACAACAATACTATTTAATAAGACAAGATTAAAAATAATATTTACTTAATAAATATTGAAACTATATAAAATGATAAAATACACAAATCAATAACATCTTAAAATCTAAATAATGATACCAAAATATTTAATAATTAAATTGCATAATTAAATATAATAATAATAATAAACACTTAAATGTAAAACATAAAAACAAGTTTTTATAATATTAAATAATTATTCAATCTCCACAGATAATAATAATAATAACTGAATAATTCAATAATAATAAAAATATATAAATTGTATAAAAACTAAATAATAATAATTATTATTATAATAAAACCATAAAAAGTTGCTATTATATTGTTGATCATACAAACATCACAAACGTAAAAACAAGGTAAAACTGTGTAACGTTAACGTTACATGTATTAAACCTGACTGTTAGCTTAGCATGAGAGAAATCAACTTTAAAAACTCCCAAAATAACCAGTAAATCATAAAAATAAATCACTGAGGAACGTAATGCTGTACCGGAGAGCTCGGGTTCGGTGAGGTTGTTGTTCAGTGAGGCCTGAGGATGGGACTCGTCCATCAGCGCCGGTTCCGCCTCCACCGGCTCGGTTCTGCCGCGCTCCGAATCACCGCGCGGATCCCGGAGTCTCGGTCTCTTCAGAAGCGGCTCGGCGGCGTCGGCCCGTTTATTTTCGCCGTCCGCCATCTTCGCCGGAGAGTGAACGAACGGAGGAGGAGCGCGGGAGAACTTCCGGTAATGGTGTGACGTCACGTCACGAGCCGATGGACCGAGTCCGTACAAGCTAACGTTAAATACAAAACATTTTGGAATGCACTTTCCTAGCAAATATCGTCCCACCAATAAAGTTAAAGAAGTTACTTATAAAGTTATTAATTAAATTGAATTTAGTTTAACTTATCCAGTCTCAAGAGTTTTTAAAGAGATGGAAAATACGTTTTTATTTTTTAATTATTTATTTGTTTTACTGTTAAACACACAAAATTTAAAATTCCTTTAACTGGTAAATATATTTTTATTGTATGGAAATAAGAGTTTAGAAAATAAATTGATTATTAATTTGCGTAATTTTATATGAAAAATACTATAAACACAAACAAAAAATGGGCAAACAATAAAATGAACATCGTGCTGTTTAAAATTGAGCTAATGAAATATAAAGAAATTCTGAAAGAAAAAAAACTAATGCATGGAATACTTGAAAGCTTTTCTTTTGTTTATTTATTTTAAATGTTCTACATTTAAACAAACAAACAAACAAATAAGATGCGGTGTTGGAAAAATTTAAATTTTACATTTAAAGTACTTTATTGCCATTATTATATATACATACAATACCATGGTATTCTGTAAATTACACGACAATTTTTGAATTACGTACTATTAAAAAAAAAAAAAAAGTACGGTATTTTAGTATGAGTCAGAGCGTCTGCGTCACGCAGGCCATTTAAAAGCCCTTCTACCGTAAAGCTCCAAATACTAACGCGCATGCGCGCTCTGTTGACTGCGGCCGACTGAGAGAAGGACTCGTTTACGGGAGTTTACGGTAGTGTTGCGGTTGAGTGCAGGAGGCATGGAGGCGATACTGAGCTGCAGAAAGGAGGATCTGGAGGATTATTACGGGCTTCTCGGCTGCGATGAACTCTCAACGGTAAACACAATTTACTACAAACCATAACAGTGCTTTTAGAGCGTGCGTTTTATTATTTCTGCTAGTTTATTACGGCGTCTTTAAGGGCAAAGTTGAATTAAAATAATAGCAGTTGCTACATGTAAATGTGCATTTCATCTTTTGTAAATAATCAATGTAAAAATATTTGATAGACTAATTGCATGAACGTGTATGTGACAGAATAAGACGTTTTACACATCTAATAATTATGACAGCAGAACAGCCTGTTGCTTTAATGTCAGGGACTGACAACATCATGCTGGTGGTAATAATAATTGATTAAATAGCTGGAAATGCACATGCTGAAGCGAACAGACTTATCCATCTGCATTACAGAGTCAATCAAAACATGCTAATCTCGACACAAATGTATATGCATGCTTCATAGACTGAACAGATCGTCAATGAGTTTAAAGTGAGAGCTCTGGCCTGCCATCCCGACAAACACCCAGAGAACCCCAAAGCAGGTAGAGATAATAATTCATATTTTTGTGCAAAGATGCAATCTGTTTCTTTTGGTTTTGCATTAAGAGAGAAGCTGAGACACGTTGCACCAATACCGTGGTACTTTGAAATGCACCGTAGTTCTGAATGATTGCCATATTAATGTACTTGTTTAATTAGTTGCAATGCATTTTGTCCAAAAACTTGCCCAGTTGTCGATTGATTTGGGTTTTCCAATAGGCAATGACCGATATAATGCCAAATCTTAGACAATTCTTGAGTTTAAATCTGTTTAAAAAATCATTTACAAAAACAATTTAGTCTTATAAAATCATGAATTAAATAACAATAAAATAATGTAATTCGTTTGACAAGAAAAAGTCATTTAAATACTTTAAAAGTATGTTTATTTTAAATAATAATTTTGAAAAATGTATTCAGTAATTCCTATAAAATCATGAAAGATATAAATAAAATGAAAAGGATACAAATGTGATTTACAATGAATAAAAAATACTTTCAA